ACCTAAGAGCGATGGCCTCCAACCTACTAGCGATGGCCTCCAACCTAAGAGCGATGGCCTCCAACCTACTACCGATGGCCTCCAACCTAAGAGCGATGGCCTCCAACCTACTAGCGATGGCCTCCAACCTAAGAGCGATGGCCTCCAATAACCTAAGAGCGATGGCCTCCAACCTACTAGGGCGATAGTCGATTTATCGGTGTGGCCGGTGGCCGTGGCTGGTGGCCGCTGGCCGGTGGCTGGTGGCCGGTGGCCGGTGGCCGTTGGCCGGTGGCCGTTGGCCGGTGGCCGGTGGTCGTTGGCCGGTGGCCGGTGGCCGTTGGCCGGTGACGGGTGGCCATGGGGCCATGGGCCGGTGGCCGGTGGCCGGTGGGTTGGCGGTGGCCGCCGGCCGGTGGCTGTGGCCGGTCGCTGGGAAGATCCATGGATGGGCGGGTACTGCCGGTGACGGCGGGCGGAATGATCCATGTGTGGTGTCCGCCAACCCCGCGGTAAACGCTTTTGCGTTGAATTCAAGGGTGATTTCACATTCCCTCTTGCCGCATGGTGGATGGACTAGGCGGTGGCCACCTGATTCATACCCCGGACCCCCGGCCTATCTCTGCTCCTGCATGATGATTGATTGCGTCCTGGGCAGCTTGGTGATAGAAGGTGGGGCTTCAAACTCAGGCGCAAGCAGAAACCAACTATACATAACACGCTTGGCTCGTGTATGTGCGCGCGGCCTGCGCAAGCCATGTACAGATAAGTGGTCGGTCGACCGGTCGACCGGCCGACCGGGTCCCTCAGCCAGCGGCCCATTTTCCTTTTTTGCAGCTATAATGTTTCGAGTCAATCATCGTGCACTATCGGCCAGTCGGCGGCGTGGAAGGCATAGGTGCCCTCACATCAGAAGATGCACGGGGCGAAGGAGCCCTTGCGGAAGCATTCGGCGTCTCTTCAGCGCCAGAATTTGCAGGAGGCTTCTGCTCTCCACCAGAGCGGTCATTCCACAAAGCCCGCCGCTTTGAGATGTCCCGGATGCTGAGCCTGCAGCACCTCATGGCTTCGTTGTGGTATTGAGTCTGGTTGCCTGTGTTAGAAGACCAAGCACGGAAGACCACCATAGTGTCACCCGCTCTTCCTCCAGCGGGCTGCAAAATGTAACCAAGACGTGGAAATAGCTCAAAAGCTTTTGTCAAGACTTGCAAAGCCTTGCGACTGGGAGAACAAGTCAAGTGCAAGCAAGTTAGGGATAGTTAGGGCATATGTAGGCCACAGAAAGCCACAGCGACCAAAGAAAAGACACGAACAAGCAAATTCTTTTGAAAATATCTGAAGAACATTCCCCTGACTGGGCCGGGCTTTCCGTCGCTTGCCCTGGACTTGCTGCACCACATGGTACGAGTCAACCACCTTGGACATTTTGATCTCGCTGCGCCCCAACAGCAGCAGTTTCTGGACAAGCTCGCGGTCTTTGAGAATGCCATCCTGGGAGGAGAGGAGCATCGAGCCGTTGTCGCCCAAGCCTTTCTGGAAGAAAATGTCCTTCGGGTCCAAGTCGGACAGCTTCAGTGGGACAATCTCGTGGGGAAGCACCTCGAGCGGGCAAGACACCAAAGAAGAACATGTTCACACGCTTGCGGGATTTTGGCAAGAACATTGGACTGAAGCAAGCGAAAAACGTTGTGCATGGCACAGCGTTCATGTCGGCTCCACCTCCTCATGACATTCGGCTTCTGGGAAAGGCCCAAGAGGCACTGGCACAAGCGTGTGCTCTTCGATGTTTTCCAACGCTGCTACAGCGACCGCTTGCGCGTCTCCACGTGGCCCCTGGCGTTCACCTGGAAGATGAGCAGGAGGTGGTTGCGTAGGCGCAGGAGCAGCGAAAGATTGTGGGGGGCAAGGCACTTGCACGGGCTGGAAAGGTTCATTGTCGGACTCGTCCGAGCTGGCAGCTGTGGCAGGATCCAATGGGCCCCGCAACACTTCCCGGACTTGAACGCTGAGCTCGACAAGCCGCGCAGCCACCTGTCAAGGGGAGCAACTCTATAGTTTGCTTAGCAAACAGGACTGAACGTTCTAGAAGTTATCTTCCTCAACCCTATAGCCAGTGTCCCTGCAGACAGGGTGCCTGCGCATGGTCCTCAGTAATTTCCAAATTTCCATCGGTGTCAAAGGTGCCCCCACCACCAGCCAACTCCAAGATGGCGACACTTGCGCTCAGCATGCCTTGCATGTGAGCAGCGTTTGCGTGCAAGGCCTCCAACGGTGTGCTCTCCTTGCCAGACGCACGGATGGATTGTGCCACTTGGTTTCCTGCGTGTCTGTGAGAAAAACCGGCGCGCAAGCGCGCGAATCACAACAAAAAAGAAAGTCCAAAGCTCCCAGGCAATATATGCAGTCAAGGCTCCCAGCAACAGTTTCTGCGCTTCATCTCGGATAGTCAAAACTGAATGCGGCCGCTTCTCGAAGTGCTCACAGACCCTGCGCGCTCCAGCGCAGATGTGTTCTGTCTGGTCCTTGACAAGCCACCGCCCACTAATCCGCCACTCAGTCCGCACCACCACCGTCTCACCTCAGCTGTGGCTGCGGCACACAAGCAACATGAAGGAAACAACCCCACCCCGCACCGGTAGGGTGCGCAGCTGACCGGAAAACGCTTGATTCAATGTAGCTGGAGGCAAAGCTGTTGTCTCTTTGCTCACATGAAAAGAAAAAATGCAACGTGAGCCGAGGAGCCTCTAGAATCGGCTTCTTCGATGTAACGAACTCTCGACCTCACCTCTGGCTTCTCGACCCCTTCAAAATGCTTGGGGTTGTTCAGCAAGCTAGTCCACCGGAAGATGGTCGCTTGCAGCGGGGTCAAAGGCAACCAGGTCCAGGCTGGTACATCACCATTTGTTTCCAAAAGGTCTTTGGGCACTTTATCGTGCCTTGCCACAGACACATCCACAGCAAAGAGAAACCTTTCCCTTGTAGCTGCAGTGTGTCCACCTTCCAGGCCCCGCTCCATGCTGATGAGCCTTGCTGGATGGCCATTGCCAAGGAGTGACAAGGCAATGTGCTGAGCCCGTGAGCTCTCGTAGGAGGTGGATGTTCTCGTGGCCCGCTTTGTTTTGCCGCGCTGCGCAAGCGTGTTCAACGTGCTTGCGTGAGTATTCACGGCGCCAGACGTTTTGTCTCGGTCATGGCGGGAACCCAGCAGCCCTATGTTCTCTAGGAACTCGTAGCACCCGTCTAGGTTGAACGCTTGCCAGTACCACAACCTGGAAGTTGTCTTTTCCTTTTTCCCGCCAATCTCCACCTGCGGGAACTCCACGGAGCGCCTGTAGAAGAACTCCGTCATCGTGAAGCTCTGCAACGAAATTGACTTGGTGCTGACTTGCATCTCTGACGGCGGTAGATAACCTTCTAGTGGAGGCGCCAGTTTGGTGGCGAGCTCATCTGCTGCCTTTTTGGCGAGCTTTGCCACAAAGTCATCAGCGCACGCTGGCGCCATTCGACAAGGCAGGCATTGCCCCCGCAAACATCATCACGGTGGAAAACATTCCTTGGCAAGTGGAGGCAGCGATGGGCAGAAGAAACTCGTAAACTTTCTTGGGGAGATGTTCTGCAGCATTGAAGTTGTCCTTCACCACATCTAAAGCAGCCCTCCACAAAGCATCCACTGCCTTGTGACTCAGCTCTTCCGGGCTGTGCGTCGGCATGGTTGGGTGCCCCTGTGAAATGACAGTGTAGGACTGAAGCGCTGTCAGTTTACCCGCACATTCAGAACAAATATCATACTCTGTGAGTGTGTGCGCGTTTGCTCTCCTGTTTGCCCAGAACCCGGGAGCGCTGCGACATGAACAAAGAGCAAGGATCTATGCCAGCCGCATGAATCAACGTATCAACACAGCCTTTTTTTGAAGCTCGAGGAAGCCATGATCCTGTCTGCTACATGAAACAGCATGAAAGAAGACAATCCGCGCTGTAGTCTTTTCCCGCCAGCGCCAAAATGCCAACATACTTCACCTACCAGCAGCCTCAGCTGCACTTTCTCGCCTGCGCTTCTTCTCTGCGCCCCGCATCTTGTCCTGCAGCGCTTGAAGTCGGACAAGGTTGTGGACATCTGCTAGCTCTTGCAGGGCCAACTGAGAAAACCAAGGCCCGTAGTGGTGGAAACAGTGGCCCAAAGGATTGAATTGCGAGTTCACCGTTTCAGCTATTTCTGTTGGGAAGCCACTCAAAATGTCTTTGTTCTGCTGCAGGCTTGGGAGGCAAACCTCCTTGCGGAGAACCCTCACGCTGCCGCAGGCACATGGCTTTCAGGTGGCAGCTGTCATCGTGAACGATGCATCTCAACGAAGGCAGTCTGTGCGCACATTGCGCAGTGAAGTGGTAACGCTGCGAGAGGGACTCAGCTCCGATAAGCTCCATCACGTCCAGCAGGAGGCCAGACTCTGTGACAGCAAACAAAAATCCAGCAGTCCTTGGCCGATTCCTTGTGGGTGCTGCAGGTGCTAGTCTGCCGAGGTTGAATCGAATGCCAAGGGGCTAAAAAAGTTCTTGCCCGGCGCGGCCGAAATCCTGCCCACTTCTGACTGCGAGCCTCAACTCTCCGCTCCCTTCCTTCTCCTGATGTTTCTGTCAGCTTGGGAGGCAAAGTACTTGGCCAAGGCCTCCTCTTTGACTGTGCACGCCGGCTGCCAGCCACCATGGCCTTGCATTTGGATTTCCAGGTGACACGCATCTCCCTGACTGTGAAGCGCTCTCTTGAGCCGATGTCTCCCCTGCCCTTGGCTGTTGTGGGCGGTCCCTGTCACCTGCATGCTTGCAGCAAAGAGTGTCTCGACCATGGGGCATTGCGCTGCAGCCTCGCAGCAAAAGTTTGTTCAAGTACGGGGAAGCGATCACTTCTGCAAAAGGCATTCCACACGTGCGTCTGTGGAGCTTGCAGTTCCCGTCAATAGCCAGGATATCCTGCCTGTCTCCTGCAGCTTCCATCTGTGCCCGGCGCCTGGCATCAAGGGCACGTGGCTAATGACATGACGCAAACTGCGGCGCTATCACTACGAAACAGAGAGGGAGCAGGGGCCCATTGAAAGCAAGGAGAAGAGTGGGTGAACGTGCCATTATAGAACATAAAGCAGAGGTGCCAGCCCCGCCTTGCAAACATCAGTGGCTCGTACCAAGCCCAATTGGTTGCAATCAGCGTCTCAATGGACGCATTCAAGACACTCTTGCGCAAACCATCAGACACGGCAGCACCAGCTTCAACAGCTCGCCGGCAGAGGATCTCCCGCACCCAACCGTCTCGAAGCTGATGGCGGATGTGGTAGCGGACGTTGGTGTTTGTAAGTCGCAGCAGCGCCCCTTCTCCCTGAAAGCTGGCTCTGTGCGCAAACATTCTGTACCGCCAGCGGCGCAGCCAAGACGTTGCCAAACCCAGGCGTGAATTGAGGAAGAAATGATCCGGGTCAGGCAAGTCCACCTCTTTCCTCCACGTGCACCGCTGCTTGTCCCGTGGTACACGAAAGGCGGCAAAGCCACACCAGTACGTCGCCAGCTGACAGAGGCCGGGCAAAAGCGAGACAGGTGCCAAGCCTTGAGCACAGCTGGTTCTGCTATGATTTGAGCAGACACACCTCCAGTCTGGCCTGGCTTTGCCTGCTGCAAAGGCTGCTGGCAGTGCGGACAACTGGTTCGCTGGGAGGTCACGACCAAGAACGAGCGCTCCATGACGCCACAGATGCCGAGTAGAAAAGAAAACCTTGCTTCTTGCAGTAAGCTGGCGGACAACTTTTGTATGTACAAGACAGGCGAAATCTAGAACATATGTTGCCAAGGTATGGTTGATCTATCTCGAAGGATGGATTTGGAAAATTCTGAGCCATGCAGGCGGGGTCAATGAAGAAGCAACACCCTAGCTGACAATCACCATGTTTGGTCACCTGCAGGTTCTGTTGTTTGGAATCTCAATGTGCACCGGCCAATGATTGAAGAACATACATACGTATACTCGACATATCATATCGCCTTATCGCCATATGTATCACATTCGATGTCGCCGTTGCCTCAAGTGACCGGTGTTGTATATAAAAGCCGGACTGTGGATGGCCGGCGCCGGTGTGCCTCGATGGCAAGCATGAGAGGCAAACCCAATGACCGTCGGCCGGTGACCGGTTACTGTGGCGGGCATTGACCGCCGGTGGCCGTGCCCGGTGGCCAGTGGCAGTGGCCCGTGGCCGTTGGCCGGTGGCCGGTGGCTGTTGGCCGGTGGCCATTGGCCCGTGGCCCGGTGGCCGGTGGCCGGTGGCCGTTGGCCGGTGGCCGGTGGCCGTTGGCCGGTGGCCGTTGGCCGGTGGCCGGCGGCCGGTGGCCGGATGGCCGGTGGTTGGCCGGTGGCCGATGGCCGTTGGCCGCTGGCCGTTGGCTTGTGGCCGGCTGCCGGTGGCCGGTGGCCGGCGACATAAAATGACTATAGTGCCTACTAGCGATGGCCTCCAACCTACGAGCGATGGCCTCCAACCTACTAGTGATGGCCTCCAACCTAAGAGCGATGGCCTCCAACCTACTAGCGATGGCCTCCAACCTAAGAGAGATGGCCTCCAACCTACCTTCCAACCTAAGCGATGGCCTCCAACCTACTCGCGATGGCCTCCAACCTACTAGCGATGGCCTCCAACCTAAAAGCGATGGCCTCAAACCTACTAGCGATGGCCTCCAACCTACTAGCGATGGCCCCCAACCCAAGAGCGATGGCCCCCAACCTACTAGCGATGGCCTCCAACCTAAGAGCGATGGCCGGCAACCTACTATAGCGATGGCCTCCAACCTACTAGCGATGGCCTCCAACCTACTAGCGATGGCCTCCAACCTACGGTGGCCTCCAACCTACTAACGATGGCCTCCAACCCAAGAGCGATGGCCTCAAACCTACTAGCGATGGCCTCCAACCTACTTGCGATGGCCTCCAACCTACCTAAGCCTCCAACCTAAGAGCAGTGGCCTCCAACCTACTAACGATGGCCTCCAACCTAAGAGCGATGGC